GTTAGTGGGTCAAAAAAATTCGTGTAGAAAAATAAATACATTTCGGTAAAATTGCATCGCTCTTAAACTGTTGTATTTGAGTTAATTTCGCAACTCACAAGAATTAGTCATGTCGTACAAAATTTCATTAGAAATTCTTCTTTGAATTTGATTTTAAGATTTATTTATTTACCTTCTGTTACACCTACGCTGACTCAGCCAGTCGATTTATCTCTTTTCGTGTAGCAACAATTCAGAGCTCATTAAAAATTGCGTTCAACCCAATTTTATCAACCAATTAAGCGTGGCCCAGCAGCGGAGAAAATTCAGCTACAACAATAACAAACCAACTTGACTCATATAGTTTCTATGGGTTTGCGTTTTTATGTACCTCACATATGTTTCAACTTCTTTGGGCTCATCACTCGCTTCCTGCTCAGTTCGGCGGTCAACAAGCCCAAAGCCCCGAACGCAAAAAAGCGTTAAGCAAATAATAACAATAACAGAAACAGCAACAAAAAGAAAAAAAGAGTCAATAACCACGTTGGTATGCCTTTTGAAGCCGTTTGCCGGTTTATTGTTTTCCTCTTCGCTCTTGGGGAAAATTGTTTTCATATTTATTTTTGGGCCACAGAGGAGGCAAGGTAAAGTCTTTGGCGAAAAATAAAAAATAAAGTGCCAGTAACAGTAGATGCGTTAATATGTAAGGAGCAATTTTATTTATTGAATTCCAAAGCGCTTTTCATAAGAAGCTTAATAGTAGCCAATGAACAATGAACTTTTAATTAACTTTCAATTAACGATTAAATTATAATTTACTACAATATTTTAGATTTTAAGTTTAAGTTCTACATATGTTAAAATGCTCGCCAATACCCTGAAATATATATATTTTTATATTTTGCGGACTTGTGTCTGGCAAATGTGTCGCAGTCTTAAAAGGCCAAACTAAGTCATAAACAGAAAAGAAGGAAGCCACACAAGTGCAGATCAAAGTGACCGGCGAAAAAGGGATAGTAAAAAGCAATCGAGCGAAAGAAAAACAAGACGAGAAAGACAAATATACAGTCGGACTTCCGACTTATAAAGTGACTCAAGTATTTATACCCCTTACACGTAGATTTAAGGGGTGTATTAAGTTCGTTGAAAAGTATGTATCAGGATCTTGAGTTGAGTATCAGGATCAGGAACTCGATCTAGACATTTCCGTTTATCCGTTCGTCTGTCTGACCACTTTTTGAGTTTTTCTCACATCCACTCTGATGTATAGCAAAAGTCCTATAGAAGTTCTTTACAAGGGTTTACAAGGGCCTTTGAACCTTTCTTTCCTGTTTTTTATGTTATTTGATTGGTTTTGTATTTATTTTTTTATTTTGGTGTCTAAAATCACATCTGCCAATTTATTTGAGTTATTGATTTTATTGTCGCTGTGGTACTTGACTTATTGACTGAGCTATTGACTTTAAATTAGACAGCGTTTCAGCACTGAAAAAAATGCTTAAGACAAGGTTTAACAGGTGGAATAGTTTTAAAAATTTAAGAGATATGAATCTTTAATGATTGATAGATCGTCTGAAAATAAAGTATTCAAAACTATTTTCATACTGTTTCACAAATTAACTTATTTTATTTATTCTATTTGCATGATAAATATCAATTCTGCGGTTGATTTTTTTTTTCTGTGCAGATTCCGGTTCAGGTGTTTCCTTTAGGGGAACTGCAGATTAGCAATTTCCCCTCCTCGTATGTATTTAAAATTTTTCCAGCCTCTTGCCGTTTCCGTTTGTTTTACAAACCCACTGACCCCGAAATTAATTGAAATAAAAAACACAGCCACACACATACGCCGAACAAAAACTGCAACCGGCAACAAGTTTTGCAAACATGAACTCTAGATGCAGAAAAGGGGCTGTCGAAGGGGAGGCGCAAGTCATGTGAGGTGGGTCTATTGCCGCGCTGCAGGTGCCAAAGCGACAGCTGCATAAAAAACGAAAAACAGCAAGAGAGGAAAAAAAACTTTTAGTTATGCCTAGGCCAGCAACAATTTTACATGTCCCAGACCCACTTCGTGAGGTTTGAAGCTTCTCAGAAACTTTGCATCTGTGTCCAAAAACTCACAGATGCGCCTGAACTAATGGCACCATCAAATAAGTTCTAAACCAATAAGCTAAAAACCCCTATAGGATAAATTTAAATGTCTTTTTAAATGAATTACCAATTTAATTTTAGCTCATAGTTTATCTGGGAATTTTCTACTAATGTAGTTCGCAAGAAAAACAAAATATAATTTTTTTTTTTTTTAGAAATAATGCTAGTATTTTCACTTCAACTGTTTCTGCGTCTGTAAATGTAAATGTATCTGGCTGTTGTCTTCGTAGTACGAAGTTCGTACATTCACCTCGTCTTCAGTCGTTGGGCTTTGTTTTGTTTTTTCGCCTTGTATTGTTGCGGTACTTCTCTTTTAGTCTTCTCTATGTTTGTCTCCCTTTTAGTCATCTAGCGACATTTTTATTTTTCTGCGGTTTTCCGACTCGATTTTAATTCGTTATATTATCTGTCCTCTCGTGATCTTTTTGGAGGTATTTTTCTTCCGAAATCAGAAGAAACCAGCTACATCAAATGTCACCTTTATGGCTTTTTAATAATGTTGTTCAGCAATTACAGAGTTGGTCTCTTTTTCCGTATCTCACAAATTTTTGTTGCATTAATTTAAATATTTTTGTTTGCTTCTCAGTTGTATTGTTCGTTCCTTACGTCCATCATTTCGTATAACTTGTTAAGAACTTTGACATGGGAAAGAAATTCCTGTGACAAGATAATACATTTATTATTTAAATTGTTCAACGATAAGGAATTCAGATAAGGTTTTTCATGTGGGAGCACATACAAAATATTAAAGCTTAAATTGTGTATATATAAGTTAATATTATTAGAGATATCAATAAAATTCCCTTGAATATCTAAGTATTTCCACAAACAGTTCCAAAGAATTTTCAATACATCCCATGACTTAAAATTCCTTTGTCAATGCATCCCCTCCCCTTATTGCCTGATCAACCCTAAACAAAAAATACGCCTTGGCAACCATTGAAATGCTATTTTGGAAACGGAAAACGAAAAATATCCAAGCACTTTAACCCTTTTGCTGGTCATGGCTGAATGCAGCGAGGACTTTTCTACTTCCACACCTTCGATGAAAATTCTAGAGGCTAGGAACATTTCGAAATGCAATTTCGACAGACGACGCACGCCCTCGCGGAAATTGTGGAAATAGCTATACTTAAACGGCCATACCATTCCATATCCCCTCCACCAAAAAACCTTCCTTATAGAGAGAGTGGTCTGTAAATCGACAAGTTTCAGTGCACAAACGACGCGTTCCCCCAAGCGGAACCTCTGACGGTTATTAAACTGCCTATATAAGACGAAACAAAAACATAGAACAAGCAACAGAACTCGAGGGAAAATAATGCCAGCAGAAAGCAGCGAAAAAGTTTAAAGAACTGAATGAGGAAAGGAGGGTTGCAATAGTTCAGTTCAGGCATAGTTCCGCTCTTTGACATCACATCTCTTCGAAATAACTTTGCTGAACTCTAAAGGTTTCCTTCTACCGGTAACAAACCAACTAAAAACAAGAGAGAACGCTATAGTCGGGTGCCCCGACTATCAGATACCCGTTACTCAGCTAAAGGAAGTGCGAAGGAGGGGATAAAAACTTTGATCCGCCGTAACTTTTTAACGAATGGCCCGATTTAAAAAATTTCTTCTACATTTCGATAGGTATTGATAAACACCACAAAACTGCATTTTTACTTTTCCGAAATATTGAAATTTTTAAAATCGTATATTAGCGATTGTGGGCGTTAGAGGGGGCGTGGCACCCTTTTGAAACAAACTTGCGCTGCGTAGGAACTCCTAGAATCTGCATGCAAAATGTCAATCTTCTAGCTTTTATAGTTTTCGAGATCTCAGCGTTCATACAGACAGACAGACGGACAGACAGACGGACAGACGGACAGACGGACATGGCTAGATCGACTCGGCTAGTGATCCTGATCAAGAATATATATAGTTTATAGGGTCGGAAACGCTTCCTTCTACCTGTTACATACTTTTGCACGAATCTAGTATACCCTTTTACTCTACGAGTAACGGGTATAAACACGCCCTAAATAACGTCTTGAGGTTATTTGTACAAATGCCCTGAAATTTTCTGCTTTGATGAAGTTATTTGTTTAGGGTCGCTGGGCGCAGAAAGTTGGTGTGGGAAATTCTGGTTAGATATGATCATGTAATGGAACTTTTAATTGGCTTGTAGAGAAACCGGGTGATTGTCATATACTTATGTGGTAGATGACATGTGCCAGGGAACTCTTCTCTCCCCACTCTCCGGAAATGTTAACCCAACCGATCATAAATCAAAACGGTCTCTTTCATTCATTACCTCTGAAAGTTGGTTCAAGGAATGAGATAGCAAAGGTGTATTTATTATGAGAGCTTCTTAAATATTTGCATATTTATTTTACAGCAAGTATAAAATTGTCTTTCACATCTTGTATCTGTTATATTATGTTGCAAACAAATTTTTTTACAGTTTTTTTTTATGTTCATGATTAATATTTTCCTGGCTGGAATTGATTAAAATTAGTTTATATATTTATAAAATTGAAAAATTTAAATTAGCCCCACTTGAATATAATTTTAGCGTCTGACATATTTTCTTACTCTACGAGTAACGGGTATACAAATATTTTGTAAGAACTGAGATGGAATATTTTTCATTCATTCACGACGTGTTTTATTTCTATTTCCTCATCACATTTGTAGGTGAACAAACGTATTTATATTTACATTTTCACCCCGTTGTTTCTCTGCTTCCCTTGATAAAATTTAATGTTTGCAACATCTGCGCAAAGTTTTTACTTTTCGCTTCTGATTCCGCCTTCGTTTACGATGCTTTTCATGGAAGTTGTAAACCCAGAATCTAATTTTATCAAAAATGTATGCTTTATTGTTTACAGATAGTCGAAGCCCAACAAAACGAAACATAAACTACGTCACACTGGAGTCACAACACGATCAAGTTTCCCAGAACTGAGACGAGACTTTCCCCCACCCCGAATACAACCTGTACAGTATGTCACATGATAAGAAGATGTTGGATCGCGAGGCAGTTCGTTCAGTGATACAGCAATGGAATGCCAATCGATTGGATCTGTTTGCGCTCTCCGAGCCAGACGAGGTGAGTGTGCTCCTCAATAAATGCAAAATTCATAAAATTATAATTATTTTGACCGCAGAACCTGCTCTTCCATGGCGTTATGCGCTTCTACTTCCAAGATGCTGGTCAGAAAGTGGCCACCAAATGCATTCGCGTAGCTTCTGATGCCACCGTCACAGATGTCATAGGTAAGAACATGATTCAGATTAAAGTAGCTTTATTACGTTATTATTAGGCATATTTATCGTTTTATTAAAGATTATAAAAATAAATTAAATTTCAATTTTTATTGATTTCCATTTTTTTAAAAGCTTGTTTGCAAAACATAATATCATATCATATGCTATTTTAAAATACGAAGTGTGGCTGTACAGAAAACTAATTGCATTTTCCAATTCTCCCTTAGACACACTGATTGAGAAATTCCGTCCCGATATGCGGATGCTATCCGTGCCCAACTACGCCCTGTACGAAGTGCACGCAAATGGCGAGGAGCGTAGGCTGAATGCCGACGAGAAGCCACTCCTTGTGCAGCTCAATTGGCACATCGACGATCGCGAGGGTCGCTTCCTGCTCAAGAACATAGACCAGAAGACCACTGTGAGTACTTACATATTCATTACACTCTCGTCTATTCAATACTAACTCTATGACTTCTGTGCCTAGCCCATCGAGCAGACGGATCTAAACTTCAAGAGAAAACTCTCGAAGCGTGAGAAAAAGGAACAAAAGAAAAAGGACAAGATGGCGAAGCTGAGCTCCGATCCGCCCACCTCCAATGGCAGTCATTTGGGCCTGGGCAATGGGATTGGCGGATCCTCGGGATCAGCCCATATGAATGGCAACGCCGGAGGAGGCGGAGGCGATGGCAGCGATGCCGTAGCTGGAAAACTGTACACGGAACTGCCAGAAACCTCGTTCACACGATCGATCTCAAACCCGGAGGCCGTGATGCGGCGACGGCGACAGCAGAAGCTCGAGAAGAAGCTGCAGCAGTTCCGCTCCAGGGATGGTGGTCCGGATACCGGTGGCACCTTAAAGATATATGGCGAGAGCCTGTGCCAGGACGTGCCCTACAAGACACTGCTGCTTTCCATACGGGACTGTGCGCAGGCCGTCGTTCGGGAAATGCTCACAAAATACGGACTGGAGAAGGCAGATCCACTGCACTATTGCCTGGTTCAGGTGGGACAAGTGTAATCAGTTAAAGGGAATAAAATGGAGCAATAGCATAAATAATTTACGTTTTTTAAAAGAAAACTTCGCTTACTTTCTTTGTTAAAAGATTCAATTAAATACTTTTATTTAATGAACATTATTATCGTTTAACGTTATGATGCCACAATATCCAAAATTTCAATAAGTAAGATGATAAAACGTAATTGATAAAGTTTTTACGAGTGCATCTAAACGGCTCCACATAATTATCCTGCATTGAGGCATTGTATGAATGCATTATAATATTTGTCTTTATTAAATGCAGGTCAACAGCGATGGAACAGAATATATACTCGATGATGACGAATGCCCGCTATCGATACTCATGAACCATCCAACGTCGCGAGGTAAGTGCTTTTTTTCCCCTTATTGCCTGATTTTCAACCATTTAAAATCAATTTTCTTTTGTGGGGGGATTGCCACTTCATTCATAAATATTCACGCAATGCTCTTGGCATAGTATAGCCCTTGTTTTATCAATAACTATGCTCCCCCACTTACTCATATAACAGACTGGTTGACAGCAACAAGAAAAACAACAAAAGCAATAAATAGTTGACTGTTGCTATTTAGTTATTTCATATTTTCGCTTCAATGTGGCTCAGTGTCGATTGGCATTTCTTATCGTCGCGACGGAATTTCTTTGGCTTGCGGAATTTTTCGAATATGAAATACATTTTTTTTTAATTACTAAAATCTACCAAAAATTCACTATTAGTAGCTAATTTTTTTAAACTGAATACTTTTGAAACTAAAGTAAATTTGTACATTTGCGGAAATAAAAGTTGGTCTGAAGTGAAAACAAAAAACAAGTTAAAATGAAAGACGATTTGTGTGAAAAGCTACGTAAGTTAAAATTTTCAAAAAAATGGTTTTTTTATGTTATTCATTGAGTGAATTAAGGGTTTACAAATATACAAATCCCTGAATTTGTTGATGCTTTTGACCGAATCCTTGCAGTCTTAGACCTGAACCCTTAGCGTATTCATCAACCATATTAGCGAGGACATTGATCTGATGACAAGGGAGTGGATTGTGTTCCTAACAACATTTTTACCTTTGATAATAGCTTTTAAGTAGGTTCCACAAAGAAGACAAATCATTAATTTTGTATAGGTTTCTTTTGATTTTGTACACAGATCGACATATTTTAGTGTGTACTTCTAGGATTAAAATGGATCGAGATGGTCCATTATCCTAGCGACGTCAGTCTACTGTCGCAGTAGCAGGTTTCACAGTTTTGTAACTACATTTCAAAAACACTTGTATAGTAATTAATTAACAAGTTAACTGACAAAATCATAATAATTTCCTAAGAAGGTAAATCGCAACATCAATAATAAACTTAAGCGAAGATCAGGAAGGGCTTAGCGCAAAAGAAAAGTGCACATACAAATTTGAATGTGTGTTTGGGCAAATGTAAATACAACTTGGTGCGGAAATGTGGCCGCAATCATCCAACATGACACACCACACACAGGTTGTCAAAAGGGAAGCGTCGTTGAGTTGGAAATTCTACACAGAGGAAAAAATAGTAGTTTCCTATTCATATTTCCAAACCTTATGTAATCTAACAATGATGTGTTTTGAGAGCGAATGCTTAAATTGCAAAACCATTATCACGTAAATCAGAAATAGTAATAAATTTACCAAAATTAAATTTCAAAATTTATAAAGTTAATGTTGGTTTACTTTTTTTGTCAGCGTATCTCGGACCCACCATATTTACCGACCCCTAACCGCTCATAATAATGACATTGGCAGGGGTCCTCTTTGGGAGTCCCTGTTGTTTGGCATTAGTTTTTGGATGCGAAACTCACGAGCACTTGGCTGCCATATGCACCTCTCGCTCTATCTACTCGTTCACTCTCTGACTGCTGTTTATCTCCCTATCTCTCTTCAACCATCCCTGGGCCATTCGAAAGGTGTAAAATGTAAATTGCGACCGCACTTCACTCACATTGTTGTCGGCTGACGACGCCGCTGGCTTTGCTAATTGTTGGTCGTTTTTCCTTGTTGCCTACTTTTGTGTGACAGTGTTACTAACCGAGGGCTGAGTTAAAACAAGAAAGGAAGCTACCTTCGGCCAGCCGAAGCTTATATACCCTTGTAGATAAAAGAATACTCACTCGGTGCAGTTCCAGGGATTCCAGGTTCAGCGTTTCGATTTATTTCAATTTTGGTTTTAAGTAGTCAAGAATCAAAACGCCTACTTCCTACAAAGTTACAATGAATTTTCTTATATTTGTTTGGGAGCCTTAAGATATAGTGGTCCGATCCGGCTGGCTCCGACATATGTACTACCTGCAATAGAAAGAAGACCTTCGGGAAAGTTTCATCGCGAAAGCTTTAAAACTGAGAGACTAGTTCGCATAGAAACGGACAGACGGACAGACGGACAGACGGACAGACGGACATGGCTAGATAGACTCGGCTATTGGTGCTGATCAAGAATATATATACTTTATGTGGTCGGAAACGTCTCCTTCACTGCGTTGCAAACATCTGACTGAAATTATAATACCCTCTACAAGGGTATAAAAACAGGTGAATTGTTCACCGTTGTTTTATTAGGACGTTTTCAGGACTATCCATTTGGGTCAACATATTCAGCGGGTAAAAAGCCAAATGGGGCAAAATCTAACATTTTTTTTATTTCTTTCCCTTTACCTTTTTTTGATTCCTAATGCACTTTTTTGGTTATACGTTGTATTTTTAGATAAACAAAACATGAACTACTGATTGCTAAATATTTCGTTCCTGGTCATGCATATTTTGACTTATATTATCAGCTACCTTGAAACGTGTTCGGTGATGTGATGCTGGCTAAATTTACGCTCCTCCTCGAGCTATGCTTTTCTCTTAAGTTATTTGCAATAATTATTGCCAAGAGAGCAGTTTTAGGTCTTTCTCTTTTCCCTCTCGCATCCTTTGTGCTTCGGCTTTGTCGGTTTGGGTTTCGCTTTCGATTTAATTTCCTTTTTGTTTGTCTGGATCTATTGCACAGTGGGTGATAAATATCATTCCAGAAAAAAATTGATTTTATTACTGGGCACTAAATATTTTCTTTTTTAAATAGATATGTTTTATATGTATTTGTAGAAAACTGTTAGTGCGTGAAATCATGATACATTTTTATTAATTATCATTTAAAAAGACTAATCATTTAACTTTATACTTACTCGAACAAACAAAGTTTTCAGTATATAAGGAACTGCTAATATTGAAAACTTTACTTTTTTTCATTTTTGAATCACCCTAATATATTATTTTTATTTATTTAATAATTAATCAACCAGAGGCTTAAACATTTTTGCGAGTGCTCTATCTCATAAAGGGATAGTTGTTTTTATCAAATTTTATTGCTCACTTTGAGGTTGTAGGATATAAACTTCAAACTGTTTCGTTGCGTGTCTGATGGGAGTTCCCCGCAGAGTGACTTAACCCATTCCACCCATTTCGATTTGTTTTGGTGTCTCTGGCGTGCGTCAATTTCTCTTCCGTGCGTTCGTCCTGTCAAGGATAATGGGCATACCTTTGCGGCCGCATCGTCGGCACTTCCAGCAACCACCAGGTGGGTCAGCAACAGGAATAACGACCCGTCCACCTCGTATCCCACACTCTTGGTCGCTTGGACGTTTACCAATAAGAAGAGCGAATGTTCTTTCTTTATACATTTTATGTACAGTAAAACATCGATAATCGTAATTTTCAAATTATTTTTAATATTCCCTAAAACATATTTTCTGTTTAATGCCTGGCTTTTCTAAAACAACTCCGTATTACTGCAGTTCAGTTGTCCAAAAAAAAAAAATTAAAAAAAAAACAAGAACTATTAAATAAAATCAAAATTTGTATTTAAATATTATGTTAAAAATCAGAACAACAATTTTAATTGACAAATTTGAAGATAAATTCTTATTACTTAACTTTAAAGGTAAATATTTTTGAAACTGCGAGTGATCAAATAAAAAGCCAGAAATCAAATAGTTTATATGCAGATTAGTTTTACTGTTGACGGTTGCGGTTCGCTTCGGTTGTTGATTCATGTTATTGTTGTTTCTCCGAGCTTTGTCAGCGTCCTTAGCAATGTCGATGTACCGCCGGCTCAAGAGATAAAGGTGGTGAGTCAGGGGAGGAAGGTGGGGCGTAATGGGGATTCCCCACCAACACATATCACATTGTCCATTATCTACGCCGTGCACTTCACAGTCACACTTCTCCCTAGAACTCACACACATGCACATACACTGAACAAAATGCAAGAAAAAAATAGCAAAAAAGGATTTTCTAAAATTCAATTCAAGTTGCTTTAGATTAACCATTTGAGTGACAAGAGCCTTGTTTCTTGAGTGGAATATAATAATAATTTAATAATCATTTTGCATTTTGGATTATATTTTGCTATGATACTGATAAAAAAGATTAGGTTTATAGGTTTCAAGTATTTTTCTCTCTGGACACACTCAAACTGTGTTGCCGATGCCGATGGCCGACAGAGTTTTCCGACGAGGAGCCGAATTCTGTATTTTCCGCATTGTGTTTGGGGCAACGGCGGAGGCATTAGGTTCACATTCAGTGTCAGGTTCAGTCATGAAGTAATGCTGTCCGGGAAAGCACGACGCGGCGCTTTCGGGAAACCCGCGACACATCGCAGTTGTATTTGAGGCGAGAAAAGTTCACCGGCAAACAGCGACGGCGGCAACAGTTTTTCCTGAAGATAAAACGATGGAAGGATGATGGCTGGGCGCCCATCGTGGGGTGCTGTCGTGCCTCCCTCTCCACCGCCCTCCATGCATACAGAAAATTGTCAAAATTAGATGCCGTTCAATTGAATGTGCTGTGTACTAGCAAAGTGATTTCGCCCCAATAACTTTCGACTATAGTGGAGGTGCGGAGGAGTCTATGTGGTCCAATTAATAGTATAATCGTCTGCTAAGAGAACGCCGTGGGAACTCTGCAAAATGATGGATTGGGGCATAAGACGTAAGTTACTTTACCAGGGGGATAAACCTATTTATTTATGTTTTTACCCCACCGTTAATGAGCGGTAAGCCAGTCAAGTAGCCCAGAGTGCCCTGAAAAGTATGCTACGGAATCCGTCACCGAAAGTTTCTCCTTCAACTTTTTTTGGCAGCATTTTCCAAATACTTTTGTCACAACTTTTTCGATTTTCGTGTTTGGTCATTGTGAGTTATTAAGCGGTTGCGGTCTCTGGATTTTTTTGTGTAAATTGAGCTGGCAATTTTCCGGCTCTCAGGAAGCATTCAACTTGATTGTCAGATTGATTGTGTTTCGCATTAAAAGCTTGAGAGCGACAACATTGATGTTTTTAATGGAGTGAGTG